TCTGTTACATACCAGAAAAGGACATAAATGCACTAGGGTATTACAGAATCTTGCATAGTGCAAATTAGAGCAATACACACATTAGTCCTGTAATACATTACATTAAATGTTCATTGCACTTACTGATATCATTGACGTGTGGCTCCCTTAACTCTTGGCTGTGTGATTAGAACACTGTTTAGAGGTCGGTGGTTTTACCTCGCAGTGCAGCAGTTGAAACAATGGGCATGAACTACAGTCGGATGGCAGGTCCGTATGTGGTGGGATAATGTGTACTGTAACTTCTCCATCTGGCCATCGTTAAAGAGTAAGCCAACTAACCCTCTAAGATGCGTTATCTAACGCTCTCTGTAGTAGACGACGACCTGCCTGTAATAGAATAAGCGAGCAATTGTAGGGCTGCACCTTTTTGTAATGTATGCGAAACCCAATGACCAAATACTTCTGACAGCCGTTGTTTGAAAGCCCCAAATAGATCGGCGTTGTGGATTGTGAAACTCACTTTAAGAGGTGATCACATGGGGGGAAATTATTAGTATTAGCTGCGACAACGGTCATTTGTTTGGCTTGGTGTGTAAAATCCTGACTGGTGCAATATATAGTTTAGTGAGAGTACTGCAGTGATGGATGATATTTCTCTTGAAAAAAATTGGTTCAATGTATATTTACATACTAATTTCCCCATTGCAGTACAGCATCCAGTTCAAGCAAGAACAAGGTGGGTTTATATTTTTTCTGTATAATCATAATTAGAATGATATAATCGAATTTGCAATACACATTTTACACTGTGCTATGCAAGTACAGAAAAATTACATGGCAGTAGCCAAGTACAATGTTTACCACTTTCCGCCGCAGCCCATGAGGATGCCATCTGGTCAGTGGCTTGGGGAAAGAATGAAAAGGACGGCACGGACAATATCATCACAGGCTCCGTGGATGACCTCGTCAAGTGCTGGAAATGGTGCGCGATACACAGGAAGAAAGAGAAGGGAGTCCAAGGGAGTTTAACTATGATGCACTGCCCTTGCACTAAAAGACAACCATGCCAATGGCTGGAGTGTCATAATAAAAGTCTGATAAAGCATTACATTTTGGTAACACATTTATTGTTGAATGGATCATTTTTACAAGGCCAAATGCCCTTTCAACAGTCAAATTACAGCAAGCCACTGACAAACCGGATTTTGCATTTGACTACACCATGTTCGTTAAATAATAAAATAATTGCAGTCTCTACGACTCTCATTGGAGCACGTGTAAGCAGTCCCTACCACCCACCTTCGTGCAGCCCATTAGTGAAAGGATTAGGATTTAACACCCGTGTTTTTTTATTTTACAGTAATTGTAGTGTTTTTGCTTCGTGTTTTGTTTAAGTCGGTGTTAGCATTTTTACTTTCCTTATTCAGTTTTCATATTTTTGTCTTGCTATTTTCAGGATACTATTTATTATTTTTCTCCCTCTTAGCTTTTTTAATGTTTTCAGGTTTAGTTTATTTTTATCCCTCCACTTTTATATTGATTGCTTTTTTAAGCTATTTTGCACTAGTTATATAAGTCTTGGAACACAACATACTACAACGGTGAGGACTGTACATTACCACAGTACACCAATAAACGTTGTACTGTTTAGTCATGTAGGTTATATCGCGTAACCTATATCACATTTTACTGTATTTGCAGTAGAATGCATGCAAAATTATTTTTTGTGTTTGTAATGTCAGGTGTAATGTAGTGTTCTTAGCAATTTATTAGAGGTTTTCATTGTAGCAGCTAGTTAGACGTTTTAGCTTGCTGGACCAGTATTCATATTAGCCTGGCTAGCCAATATTTTACTGTATTTGTTTGAAACAGCTCTAAGCCTTCATAGCCACCATGAAAACAACTCCTGACAGGAAATATGTTTAATTCAATCCGTTTCTAGCTCTTTTCCGAAAGCTAAGTCCCAACCTAAGCCAATTAAGCTATTAACAGGGCATTTTCCCTCTGGTTGTCGTGCAGGGCGGATGAGAAGCTGGAGCTGCAGTGGACATTGGAGGGCCACCAGTTGGGAGTGGTGTCTGTGGATATCAGCCCTACAGGGGCACTAGCAGCCTCCAGCTCCCTGGATGCAAACCTTCGCCTCTGGGACCTGGAGTGTGGCAGTGAGCTCAAAACGATCGATGCAGGACCAGGTCATACAAATTATTTAAGCTGGGACACTTCCTAACTGTAAATGTGTTCAACGCTTCACGCAACTTTATTTGTTCGTGGGACAGTTAACATTTAACTTTACTGACACAAGACAGTGCATGATAAATAAGCAGCATTGATCACATGCAACATGCACACATCGTGCTTCTCAGAAGTCATCAAGCTGAAATTGTGCAATTACCTTCCACAGACTTGTCTAGGTTGGCCGACTGCCGCATGCTTGCTTGCAATTACATCCCACCATTTTTGCACTGTCTCTGCTTTATGAAGTGACATCTTTTCCTGCTGCTTCAAATGCATGAGTTCATCATGTTGTTTGAGTAGATACCCTTCTCCTAAGCAGGTATCTCTCTCGTTTGGTTACAGCACCAAGTAAATGTGAAACCAATTATTTCGTGATACTGCATTGGCAGTAGTCCACAAGCACAAATAACAAAAACTCATCACATTTGTCAATAACACTTCACAGAGGCTAGAGGTAGCTTGTATTTTGAGAGGCTAGAGGTAGCTTGTACTGGTAGGAACGAAGTTGTAAAATGAGTGTACCAGCCTGCAATAGATTAATGTGTCCGTCCGTCCCCTTTCAATACTTTAACGAAGTGTAAAATCAGCAATAGACAGCGCAGACTTGACATGTCTTATAAAATTGCGCAAAATTCCAATGTTCCTACCAGCCCACCCTGCAGAGACCTGTTATTTTGTTAGCCAAGCAGCCAGCCTGTAGATGTCCCAAGAATGATACTACTCTTCCCCCTTGCTTCTGGGTCTCACACCACGAGTCAATCTTTTGCCACCTGTGTGTTGTCAGAATAACTGTGACACCTACACCCGTCCCTTTCTGTCAGTATTCTGCTACCATTGTATCAAAGGAAATTCAAGTGGGATAATTGTCAGGTTATCAGGATACTGTGTGCATCTTAGAAACAGGTAATTAATGATCTTTTCTTTTCCTTGACAGTGGATGCCTGGTCAGTAGCGTTTTCCCCAGACTCAAGGTTCTTGTCTACAGGCAGTCACATGGGGAAAATAAATATCTTCGGCATTGAAAGTGGCAAAAAGGAGTCCACTCTCGACACAAGAGGAAAATTCATTCTCAGCCTTGCCTATGTAAGTGTTGCCATCACTTCGTAACTTGAGGCACATTCGTTTTCAAAATGACGTGGCCGATTCTCAGATGTTTTGTGTTAATATGTTTGATCTCTTCTGCTAGAGTCCCGATGGTAAACATTTGGCTAGTGGTGCCATAGATGGCATCATAAACATTTTTGACATTTCAACTGGCAAACTTCTCCATACGCTAGAAGGTAAGGAGCACTTACCATTTTGAGGCATATGCATATCGTGCCATAGACATGCATATACTGCATAATTGTACAAATGTTTGCTTGACCAATATTTAATGTTCTTTTTGCTAACAATGAAGTTATTTCCTTTTACCTTGGGCACGTGGAGGCCATGCTATGCCCATTAGGTCTCTGACCTTTTCTCCGGACTCTCAACTTCTGATCACTGCCTCGGACGATGGTTACATCAAAATATATGATGTGTGAGTAGATCTTATATTCACCTTCTTGTGAATGTTTACCTTCTATGTTTGGGAATATACAGAGGAGAATTTAGTGTCACACAAGGAAATCTTCTTGGTGGGACAATTGTGAGATGCCATCGTTTTGTGAGCAAAGTTTTAAACTAACCCTTAATTGTTGAACAATTAAAATGAACATTTTCATTGAATAGTTAAGGTGATAAGTGTGGTATTGATTTTCTATCACCAAATATTGTGTGGGTTGTAGCTTTTAGTGATGCGCACCCAAGCTCTGCCAGCATCAAATGTATTGTATACAACAAACGGCAGTAGATACTAGCTAGTTGTGCAAGTGGATTTAAATGTGTGTAATTCAGAATTGCTTACACCGCAATTTCTTGCAGACAACATGCAAAATTGGCAGCGACTTTGAGCGGACATGCCTCTTGGGTTCTGAACGTGTCCTTTTGTCCTGACAATACCCACTTTGTCTCCAGGTGAGTTTGTTTCTATACAAGCTGAACATTTCATACAATTGTATTTCTTTTGTTGTTTATTTCCTTTGAAGCAAGCAAGCAAGCTTGCTTATTAACCAATTCTTTTTTTACAGCTCTTCGGATAAAAGTGTAAAAGTGTGGGATTGTGGGTCCAGGACATGTGTGCACACATTTTTTGACCATCAGGACCAGGTAAACCTTTAAACGAAAACCATTGTACCATTGCCCTTTGTCCTAATCTGTAAATCACTGTATCTGCATCACCTCCTACTGCTTTGTCTAGTATCCAGTGACTTTGATTCTGGTTGCCCATGCAGTTCTTCTGTGCCTTTTTACCACCCATTTCTTTAGGTGTGGGGTGTGAAGTACAACAGCACTGGCTCCAAGATCGTCTCCGTTTCTGACGACAGGGCAGTTCACATTTACGATTGCCCCATGTGATGACATGGCACATTACAGCAACTGGCAGCGATGAAATGGACTAGACAAAGTTCTACAGTTGAGCTGTAAATGTAAAAAGTATTTTTCGATTTCGTGTATAAAAATGTAGACATTCTGCAAGCATTGTTCTAATCCAAATTTGCTTTCACTCATTCCCTTTCCACTTTGTTTAACATTGTTGCAGCATGTATTTGAAATTCCTGGAACTGCTTCGATTATTGCATTAAAGTTTATATATTAAATTGTTTTAAAAAACACTCAAAATATTGTCATATTCACAGTTTACCGAACCTGGAAAGACATCCATAATGCATTTCATAAAACTATATCGAAACGTCTCAATGTCACATCAATTGTTTTATTGTGCTGCTGGTAACTTTTGAAGTCAACCTTATACAGATTAACCCACAACCAGTGTAATACGATTTACATTTGTGGGGACATTTTTGGAAATACAGAAATGGAATATCTACCTTAAGGTTTTCCAACACAAGGGTTTTTTTTGTACAATTAAGGGCATATTGACACAAATTCAGATTGCACATTTACATAAAATACATTGAAAGTGAAGGATAGCCACACCCAGATGGGTTGAGAACCCGATAGAAATCACACTTGATGCATCCTAAATCTACACAAACGATCAAAGATTTTAAGGTTTTTGTTGCTGGCATTTTGTACAAACCTGCTGAGAAAGTTATTTGCAAAGGGGCCTGTTGCCCAACTGTACAAAAGTGGTCATTGCTTTGCAAGTCTCAAACAAATGCACCAAAGTCAACCTGATCTGGGCTTGGTCGTGCCCCCATGTAAATCCGCTTCTATATTTGGAAGGCAACGGAGGGGGGCGAGTGCTGAACGTGGAAGTAAAAGTGCTCATGAGGTCTGACATGGCATGCCACGTGGCTGATGGTAGTCTGCGTCATCGTCCTCCATGTACACCTGTCCGGCGTAGTGGCTGTGGTACCGCCCGTGTGCCGGGTCCAGCTCTGTAAGCACCACCACCTCGGTATCGTCTGACTGCACGTAGCGCTCACGCCGAGGCAGCAAGGCTTCCAGCTGCGGCAGTTTGTGCGCCGGCAAGAATCCCGCCAACGGGAACTTAACCTGCACGACCACGAGGAGACGAGAAACGTCAGTTGCTATGGTGCAAGAAATCGATGGTCATAGCAACAGTTTAATTGTGTTGTCATGATTTTTAAATGTGTCAAATTGCCCGACGTGACAAGTAGGTGGTGTGCCATTAATCCAGCAATAGTTGGTAGATTACAGATTTGTGAAAATCCCAAACCTGTTATTTGCCCAGAAGAAGCATTACAACTCATGGGTGTGTCATGAACGTTTAAACGGACTTTCTAGGTACTCTGGTTTCCTCCCACATGCTAGACCATCCTAAAAAAAATACTCGAGACGAAGCCTTAAATCAATTTATATACTGTATATTACATCATTTAGACCAAGAGTACATGGTGAACCCAAACATTAGTACAGAGACAATGTATTTTTAACTAAACATCAATTGGCCAAGCTTGTTAAAAAAAAATGGTTGGGTTTCCAAATTGTGTGATCAAGCCTGCATTTCAGTTAATCTTTACAAAAGTGCTTTGCAATGAGTAGGTTCATTTGCAGTTATGCCAACTTTAGTTGGTACAATGTTGTCCCTTACACTGAATTGGATGATGAGGCGTCCTTTCTCAAATGGGTCACGATACAGAGGCATGCCTTCATTCAGTATGCACTTGACATCGCCTTCTTTGATGACCTCACCTGTAAGGAAAGTGGGAAAATTAACATTTGAGTGTTGCACAGGAATAATGACAGGGGCCAGAATATAAAAAATATATCTTACGTTTTGTGGCAAGTACAACAAGTTACAATTGCCACAACAGAAATAACAAATCCATTGGAGATGCAACTTGTATACTTGAAAAGCTTTCACACATTTAGTGACATGTCACTATTGTGTTGGGTCTGTACGGATACTGTAGGCGGGATGTCAGAGGTCACGACAGGCCGTGACACTGCATGAACCCGACAGGACACGTGACCGGACGAAGGGGGGCCAGGGGCCCCAGGGGGGAGCTTGGTGGTCACGTGGTAAGGGGCCCGGACCTTCCCGAAGGTTCGGGAAGGGGGGCGTGGCCGAGGGCGGGGCCGGCCATGCCGCAGCAGTTATAAGTGGGGTGTGAAGAGACAGCGTGGCTGTTCAACCCCGGGATGAAGATGCCATCAGCAGTCCTCTTGTCTCCGATCTTCGTCCATGACCAGGCAGCCTGTTAACCTGCCCTGGTCACGTTATATAGTATTCCCCCGAGTGTTAGTTAAATTAGGAACGGTGGTCACCACCTTATATATAGTGTTCAAGTTGTTACGTTAATAAATAGTGTTGCCTCCAAGTTGGGTGTGCGCCTCAATCGAACCCATTACACATGTATAGGTTTAATGAAGGGCTAAATAGCATTTAATATGTAATTTAACAAGTACGCAGTATGCCAATTGTTCATTTTTGGAATATTGTTGCAGCAACTAAGTTGAAAGCTTGCTGACAAGCCTCTACAAAATAAATTAACTACAGTGACTAGCACACACCCTACCTCTAGTGATGTCAGATTAGTGGTGTTATTTGTGCAAGTCGCCGTGTATTTGACAGCAATGCAAGATGGCTATTGGAAGAAGAGCTGCACGGTGCGAATTGGTGTTGCTCCTGCCGACGCCACGATTTTTTTTCAGACTGAAAATGTGAGCACGTCGTTCAGCGTGATGCCGTGACCCAATCAAGGTGAGACGTGTTGAATTGGATGGATTTAACAATAAAATAAAGGGAAACCATAAATGTTAGACCACTACAAAAAGCTGACATTGTGGTATTGGAACGTCTTAGCGCAAACTCATGACTGCATTAGATCAGTATACTGACCTTGATGAGACGTGATGAGGATTGTTCTGTTGTCGAGAGTCTTGATGGATCGCTGAAAACCACACAGTGCCTCAACTAGCTCAATTTCCATTTTCATCACCAGATCGTCTTCTCTCCTGCATAATAAATGGCACAGTGGCAATTAGAGTATATTGTGTATTGGGTTTGTAATAAGACAGTAAACTAGTGCAAATTGTAAAATATCACAAGATGCTGCTCTAACAGACTAGATTTCCAGAATCAACACACTATTACCTAAGACCCATTTTAACATCTGAGTTACTATTTTTATCGACTGTTTTGTGAAGTTTGGATATGAATGGCTGGTCTCCAATATACCTGTGAAACACAGGGTGTTCTTTTTGGTCGAGAACGATGATGATGTGCCCAGGTTCGAGGTCTGGATCCTGGTCGCCCTCGCCATAAAATGTAATTTTCTGGCCATCCTTCATGCCTGCCAAAATATGTCATGCTTTTCTTAAGAAATTCCAGGGCACACATTTGGTTACAATGAATACGTTTTATTTATAGCAAGAGACATAGCAATGTAGCACTCCATATTCACACTTAATAAGCACAAACATTGGGGAAAATAAATCGAGGGCATTAAAATAAAATAACCATCATTTAGGAACTTGATGACTATTGTAAACAGGAGGGATGTAATCATTCCCTGCCTCCATGATTAGATGAATTGTCACAATTCGATTAAGAAATGTTTTTGCCCTGGTAGGGCAGTGGAAAAGTGCTACCCCCAACTGTATAGACCACAGATCACTTGAAGGGATCTCAGAGGTAACTCTGTGATATCCGCTGCCATGGGCCTTCCCTAACACGAAGGGCTGCGCTGCTCTGCACGAGATCTAAATGGATTCTTCGTCTCATGACATTACACTGATAGTGCAATCAGGAAAATATTTGTATTAAAGTCAACATTTAAGAGAGATGTCAATTAACAAAACACAGCCTCACCCTTACTGATGTGCACCTCCAGGATCTTCTTCTCGCGAACGATCTTGCGCCCGTTGCAGTAGCGGCAGCGGTGCCGCGGGTTGATGCGTTCGCCATGGCCGTGGCACTCGGGACACACAGACTGGATCTGCTGCACCATGCCCAGCCCAATTTGCTGGATCTGCAGATACATGCCTGTTCCCCGGCATGGCACACAGCGTTCCACCGCACCCTTGCGGCCCCCACGACCTGCCAGGCACGGCAACCACGCAAACCCCCATTTGTTGTTAGAAACTCGGTGTGGCAGATCAGCTCCAAAATGTATGTGTCAGGGTTAGAAATGCTGGCATGAAAGATACTGCATACACAGGAATGCATATTGTACCAAAATACTACTGTAGATGGACATTAAACCTTGTTTTTTAATGGAGAAAATATGCTGGATCATATGCCTTAAAGCAGTTGCGAAATAATAAAATCACGAGTGCTGCAATTTTGCAACATGGTGATTAAAATGGCATTCCAACAATAACATGTTCACTTTCAGCTTATTTCATCCAAGTAGGGGTGGATTGGCCAATTTTTGCAAAAGAATGTAAGGATTATTCGTTTCAATGGACAATCAAATGTCATGTGCTTGCCCCTGGCATACCTTCACACTTTGCACACAGCACATTTTTTTGAAGTGCCAGTTTTCTGGTTGAGCCATTGTACATCTCTTCCAAGCCCACAGATAGCTGGTGTACAGCATTCTTGCCTGATGGAGACAAGAATGTCAGACAAAACTTTTAAACAAAGAGCTTAAACAAAGGAAATAATTTAATAGCTGGTTACATACAACTCCTTAAGCAATTATTCATTTTACCTAAAACCATTCACAATGATAAATGAAAGGACGTTTTTGTTGGTAAAACATGTGATTCAACCTGACTTAAACCATGTGACAGCAGACCAAGTAAATATTTCTCACTTTGCAAGTTAAAGATACAAATACACTCACATACTAGAGTATTTTATAAGTAGTATGCGCTTACACGCACTTTACACTCACGCAAATATTTATACACACACTTTGGTTTTACGTGCCAGATTGATTATTTGCTCAAACCAATGTATCATTTCAAAACTGCTGTTTGGAATGACATAGGGGCATAATGCTGTGTGGTGAATTGAGAAGTCACACGTATGCCCAATTGCCACTGTGGCTCTAATCCTGAAATAAATGGAGGTGGCAACGCCACAAAATCTGCTGCGAGGACTAATGCCTGCTTGTCCAATCGTGATGACCTTGACAAAATGTACCTCTCCTTTCCCTGTGCATGCGGGTGCCGCCATTGAAGAAGAGGTCAAATATGTCCATGGGGCTACTGAAGCCGTTGCCACTGTTGCTGCTGCCCCCCTTGAGGGCCTGCTCCCCTCCCATGTCATAAAGCTCTCGCTTCTTGGGGTCCAGCAGAACCTCGTATGCCTGGGAAATTTGTTTGAACTGTGTAAGCAAAAACAGAAGACAAGCCAACACACGCACGTTAGTGCCTGTCGGTATCTATTTTACAAGCCCATACGTGCAAGTTGCAGTGAGAATCCAAGCAAGAGAAGCAAACTTTTGTATTCAATTTCATTAAATATCATGATGGCTGGCAGTGCTCTGTATAACCCTGCTCTAAATAGATGCCTATATAGTGTGGCTAACTGCTGTAAATTTGCAGCTGACTTTTCAGCAACATGAGATTGCAACGACCCTCCTGCATCACCAAAAAAACATATACAATATTATGTACCGTATCACTCTATTGTAAAATTATGAAGTCACACGTAGCTTTCAGAGTTCATGTATCGCAATACAAAGTGCAAATTCATATCTTGCTTAGCAGAGAGTGCTGAGGTTACTGGTCGCTGACCAAGGAGTTTTGCAGTTTTATTTTTGTCCAGGACAGTAAGCATGTTGTCGAGAGCTGTGGCTATAATGTTGTTACGTGGTGGTGAGGGATGTCCTCTGTCTCTAGATTTTCACTCGGCATGTAACGATTCACCTCCAAAATTCTACATGTTATGTTATAATTTTATTTCACGATATTAAATATTTTCACCTACTTAATAGTATAATTTGTATCGTTTCGTATGTATTGTCTCATTCGCTTTGAGCTGAAACCTAACATTTGCATATCATTCATGTAAAGTTTATTTTCCTTTATTTCCCCTTTGTCCTCAGTGCATTGTATTTTCTGAATATAATGAGGTGAATTGCGTTACTTCTTGTTAATAAGTGAAAATAAAAAATGCAAATTCGTATCCCTAATTTACTCTTACATGCACAAATGGATGGGTGTGCTGTAAGCATATGAATACATTTTAATGGTAGAATCGATGAAGATTGTAGACACCTCCTTTGTACTCCACCGCTCAACAAATGGCGTGTTTGAGAAGAACAAGATGAACTAAAAAATTAAACTGCTCACCTTTTCGCCTTCATTGGGGTTTTTGTCGGGATGGTACTTTAAGGCGAGTTTGCGGTACGCTTTCTTGAGTTCCTCGTGAGTGGCGTTTGGATTCACGCCCAAGGTGTCATAATAAGCAGTCTCCTTCACCATGGTTGCTCAGGCTGAGGTTGATGAGGCACCTGTTGACACACGCAGTCACGTCATGACACAATGGCAAATAACACTGAATGTGGCTTGTCATTATTACCTATCTGAAAATTGTGAATAGTTCCTTGTTTCCATGACAGGTGGGGTTTTGGACAGTAAACTAGCGTATATCCCAGCACTAGCCACATGTATTTATATAGCCCCTAAGGTGAATCCACTGATGGCTGAGGGATTCCACAAGCTGTGTAGGTTGTGGGGGTTATTTGGCCATGCTTTAATACACTGATCAGTCCAGACAGTGTACGCGTGGGAGCATAGTACAGCATTACATTTATTTTTTTCTGCACTGTCCCCTTCTGCCCACCACGTAGCCCTCCGCAGGCCTTTGACAACCTGTTTTTGTATGGTGGCCACCCTTTCAAGCACTATCCAGGGTCAACGCTGCTTACATTCTGAGGTCTGGCAAGATTTGGTGCATTATGGGTGATTTTACCATAAACCCTCAACACTTGCTATTCACCGTCAACTAAAGACTTAAAAGATATCTCTATAACTGTGCATTACAAAAAAATAGCCGCTCCAATATTTCAATTAATAAAATAAATTAAATGTTCTTATTACTGCAGGCTCTGAACAGATAAATCCTATACGTTCGCCTGTTTAATAAAGAAAATACTAACAGGCTCGCACAAAGGGCAATGAACTAATACTGAAAACGATATCACGTATTTAAAAGAACATTTAAACTGAGTCTCAAATGGGCCCTCGTTCGATTACATAACTGAAAATCATTGTGTGTCGGGGAGGGGGGGGGAGAGAGTCCTCGCTTATATAAACGCCGGCAATTTTTTTTTACCGCAATGTGTATCTCGCGGGCTTTAACACACCGATTAAACAATATACCTCGCAGTGGGATTTAACGGCAAACGGAGCTTAAACGGGCTTCAGTTTTGTGTGTGTGTTGATACGATCATTTCCTTGCATTTTAACGTTGCGCCACGACATTGCGCAACGAACCAGCAGAGGAAGAAAAAAACACAAGCGCGCAGAGCCGAACCGATAAAAAAAACTGAATTTTGATTTAAAGCTTTCGTGACTGCAGTAATTCATGTTCTTAGCTCTTTCGGTAAAGTCACGTTGAAGGGGAACAATAAAGAAAGCGCTAAGAATACGATAAAAAAAACTGCTCAACGTTGAACGTTCTCGTTGCGAGCGCGGCGTTCACTTGCGGTGGGGGGACAACCCTCCCTTACGTTATGCAATGCAACTTCAGAGCGTCTCAATTCATCACGATCTCGTTGGGTTTTAAACGTTACGCGAATGTAATCGCCGGCATCTAGACCTTTCTTCTACCACCCACCATAAGCAAGGAAGCCCGGCTCTTGGTAGTTGAAATTAAAAGAAACTCGGTACGTTCCGCTAACGCATAATACGTGGGCACACCAAGTTCCGCGAAATAACTGCAAGGGTACATTACGTACTTAAGAGTAGTTTATTACCCCCACCACACACACACATACATACCCCACGGTGATCAAACATTTGGGTTTTCGGAGCCAATTTCGAACGCTCAGCCGAAACGGGGGACCGGCAACTCTCCCGTCAACCCCTAACGCGCCCGATCTATATCAATCATTACAATCACACATCAATCAATCAAAACGTGTTATATAGCAATACTCCGTTTAGTTGTGGGGGGTAAATATAATCGATTCGTGGCATAGTTTGGCCATGAGATGCACCGTCGGCATGGTGGGGGGAGGGGGGGAGAGGCCTTCATCCAACTGCGGATGTGACCGATGACGACGATCAACCTTCAGCATCGACAAGCACGACATTTGAGGCACATTTCAAACGTGTCAAAACCTTTTTGTCTCCTCCTCACACACGTCCCTCGGTTCACAGGTAGATAGGAGGAGGTGGTGGGGAATGGTTGTCAGGGGGTGTCACCGCACACCGCGCCGGCCGGTAGAGGCCGGCGGGCAGGCCGAGGGGCCGGGCAAGCCTCAACCACGAAGACGTCGCTGACCGGGTCGTCACTTTCCACCGTCGCCTCTACCACGGAGACGTCGCTGACCGGGTCGTCACTTTCCACCGTCGCCTCTACCACCGAGACGTCGCTGACCGGGTCGTCACTTTCCACCGTCGCCTCTACCACGGAGACGTCGCTGACCGGGTCGTCACTTTCCACCGTCGCCTCTACCACCGAGACGTCGCTGACCGGGTCGTCACTTTCCACCGTCGCCGCACACGAGACGAGAGACACACTTACTTACCCGCCTCGGGAGGTGGAGAAGCCGGCGGTGGTAGCAGAAGCGGCGGCGACGAGAGAGCTGTTGCTTGTCGTGGTGATGATGGTTGAGACGAGGCGACGGTGGTGGTTGTTGAGACGAGGCGAGGGTGCTTGTGGTGATGATGGTTGTGGCGAGGCGACGGTGCTTGTGGTGGTGGTAATCGTTGTGGCGAGGCGACAGTGGTGGTGGTTGAGACGAAGCGACGGTGCTTGTGGTGGTGATGGTTGTGGAGAGGCGACGGTGGTGGTGGTTGTTGAGACGAAGCGACGGTGATTGTGGTGGTTGTGGCGAGGCGACAGTGGTGGTGGTGGTTGCTGTTTCTGCGGTTCCCGCTCTTTTTTCCCCCCCACCCGTCGCCGCTTCGTGCGAGAGCCGCGCGGCTTTTGCCGGGGGTTGCCTTCGGGGTGGCTGTGTGTGTGTGGGGGGGTCCCGCCGCTCCGCCTTCACGAGAGAGCGAGAGGGGTGGCTGGGTGGCAGGGTGGCAGTGGTGGATGGGTGGGTGAGTGCTTGGTGGTTGTGGTAAAACAGAAGCTTCTGGAAACCGGCGCTGTGACGTCAATGGCGCCACGTGAAGAGAAGGGGAGGGGGAAAAAAGAGGCAGCACCCCTCCCACGGCGCACGCAACGCTCTCCCCTTTACCCCCTAAAGATGCCCTTACAGATGTTTAATTATAGACCCCCCCACTCCTCTCGCTGTGTTGTAACCCACCGGTGGGAGATGCCGCGTCTGTGTTACCCATTCACCAAGCCAGTGTGTGTACCACTGTGTAGCCTTGTCTGTGTTACCCATTCAGCAAGCCAGTGTGTGTACCACTGTGTAACCTTGTCTGTGTTACCCATTCAGCAAGCCAGTGTGTGTACCACTGTGTAGCTTGTCTGTGTTACCCATTCACCAAGCCAGTGTGTGTACCACTGTGTAGCCTTGTCTGTGTTACCCATTCACCAAGCCAGTGTGTGTACCACTGTGTAGCCTTGTCTGTGTTACCCATTCAGCAAGCCAGTGTGTGTACCACTGTGTAGCCTTGTCTGTGTTACCCATTCAGCAAGCCAGTGTGTGTACCACTGTGTAACCTTGTCTGTTACCCATTCAGCAAGCCAGTGTGTGTACCACTGTGTAGCTTGTCTGTGTTACCCATTCACCAAGCCAGTGTGTGTACCACTGTGTAGCCTTGTCTGTGTTACCCATTCACCAAGCCAGTGTGTGTACCACTGTGTAGCTTGTCTGTGTTACCCATTCACCAAGCCAGTGTGTGTACCACTGTGTAACCTTGTCTGTTACCCATTCACCAAGCCAGTGTGTGTACCACTGTGTAACCTTGTCTGTGTTACCCATTCACCAAGCCAGTGTGTGTACCACTATGTAGCCTTGTCTGTTACCCATTCACCAAGCCAGTGTGTGTACCACTGTGTAGCCTTGTCTGTTACCCATTCACCAAGCCAGTGTGTGTACCACTGTGTAGCCTGTGTTACCCATTCAGCAAGCCAGTGTGTGTACCACTGTATAGCCTTGTCTGTGTTACCCATTCACCAAGCCAGTGTGTGTACCACTATGTAGCCTTGTCTGTTACCCATTCACCAAGCCAGTGTGTGTACCACTGTGTAGCCTTGTCTGTTACCCATTCACCAAGCCAGTGTGTGTACCACTGTGTAGCCTGTGTTACCCATTCAGCAAGCCAGTGTGTGTACCACTGTATAGCCTTGTCTGTGTTACCCATTCACCAAGCCAGTGTGTGTACCACTGTGTAGCCTTGTCTGTGTTACCCATTCACCAAGCCAGTGTGTGTACCACTGTGTAGCCTTGTCTGTGTTACCCATTCACCAAGCCAGTGTGTGTACCACTGTGTAGCCATGTCTGTGTTCACCATTCACCAAGCCAGTGTGTGTACCACTGTGTAGCCATGTCTGTGTTACCCATTCAGCAAGCCAGTGTGTGTACCACTATGTAGCCAAGCCAGTGTGTGTACCACTGTGTAGCCTTGTCTGTGTTCCCCATTCACCAAGCCAGTGTGTGTACCACTGTGTAGCCTTGTCTGTGTTACCCATTCAGCAAGCCAGTGTGTGTACCACTGTGTAGCCATGTCTGTTACCCATTCACCAAGCCAGTGTGTGTACCACTGTGTAGCCATGTCTGTGTTCACCATTCACCAAGCCAGTGTGTGTACCACTTTGTAGCCTTGTCTGTTACCCATTCTCCACATTAACATTCTGCACTGACCAGCGTGAAGTATGGTCAAGTAACCCTTTTGCACGACGTGGAGAGGCGAGGGAAGCCATCATCCAGCAGTGGATTTACAAAAGGACTTAAACGTGTGGTACTCGTGCATGCCGGGGTGATATGAAAAACGAAACCAAACAGTCTATACCCACCAAGCCACAACGTAAAATAAAAATATCCGCGCTGACCAACGTGCAGGATCGCCAAACCCCTACGACTGGCGTTGCAGCGGGCTAGGTGGCGGGCAAAACAAGCTTGTGTAGAAAAACCCATTGTGTGTGTATGTATGCCACGTCGATTCTTCCTGCCTTCACGAAACCGCTATGACTTGCGTGAAATGTCAGAAACCCCACCACAGCACAGGGAGGGGCCCTCATCCAGCAGTGGGTTTACGAAGGGGCTGTAAAATTATCGTCGGAGATATACTTACTCTCAAGGATTCATGGAATGCCAAACATGTCAAACACACGTGTGTAGTGGTCGACAACCTTAAATGATCTATGGCATCAACACCTGTAGATGTTTGAGGAATTTAAATGTTCATGTGAATGATTCAAATACTGTACCTTATTGATACTGAATGTACAATACTAGGGAACTATGGTTACGGGATTTACCAAGAAAACAGTATTAGGGTAGTGTACTTTCAATTTAAATATAATCTACAGAAATAGAGGGCGTGGGAAATGGCATGCAGTTAGGCTACCATGTACAATGGTCGATTCGTTTTTAGTTTCTACAAACGAGTTAAACAGGAAACCACGCCGCATTCATTATTTGTGAATCACTTGCGAGGAAACTAAATTTTTCAAGGGATTGTTGTCGAAACAGTTTCTACGTGGCTTTACCACTGACCACACTTTCTGGAAGTTTCTCATACGCATAACTTTATTAACATCTTTTTTTAAAAAGAGACTTTACTAGTAACATCCTACAAAGATTACAGAACAGGAAGTGTGCTAATATTACATTAAAGATGCTTTACATGTGCTTTATATAAAAACAAAATAACAAAAGCCCCTTCACATTAATTTTGATGCTCAGTAAATTGACATTGTGCTCCTTTTCTGTTGCAGACCGCCAAAATTATTTAAATAGCTCGATTGCAAACATTAAGTGAGCATGTTTACATATCCAGTCATTAACTTGACTCAGAATGACAGCTTGACGAGTCATTACACAATTAAGCTGCCTAATCTGAACCAAGTACTGCACAGCAGTCTTCTCCCAAGACAACACTTGGGATTAAATTGCACCTATCTTCTTCATAAAACGTGTACTGAGTGGATGAATCCAAAACTGAGTGGTGCATTTCATGTGGTTTAATCCCACTAGTGGTTTTGTACCTGGCTACCACAACATACATTTACAATGTGTAATTGGATGTGCTCAGCTTTTGCAATGCGTGCAGTACAAAACTATGCAATTATTTTAAAGGCATGTGAAATGGCAAAGTGGTTACTCATTAGTCACTAAAATATCTAAATGGAATGTCAGTTTGTAAATACTACTTACGATATATACCATATTTAACAACTTGAAAGCATAAGAAAAATATCAATGTGCATTTTTAGCAAGACCAGGGAATCTTTACAATTATCTTTTACAAAATTCAAACATACACCTCGCGACATCAGAAATGATGCAATGTGCCCGACTGCCCAACTTGGGGGAGAGATACACGACAATCGCCTGCCGTTATACATTTTAGATTCACCCACGACCCCAGTGCATCACGTCAAGTGGACACAAACACAAATAATAATTTGGGGGGAAAGGGGACCTAAAATGTTGCCAAAATTAGTGGTCAAATTATTAAACATTAAATTACATTTCAACCACTCAATTTGTGGGAAATATTTCTTTTTAAATGTTTTAAATGATTCATATGCATAAAGTAAAATAACAATTTGGTCCATGTATTAATAATGTGTGTAGTTAATCATATCCTGCTTTACATTTCAGATAAAGGCTCAGCCCAATTAAAAAAAAACAGCAGATGCTTAAAGGTGACGTTTGGATGATGCAGCCATTCTTCATTGGAGTTAAAGTCCATTTTCCCAGCCGCTGCTGCTGTCATCATACATTGGGTGGGCCCTGTCACAGCAGGGCACACCTGAAGAAGCTGGTCTTTTTGCCCTGGGATGGAGCTGTGATCCGCACCGCGTTACTGTCAGGGGTGTTGTTTCCTTCCTGCGTAGCACAATGGACCAACAGTCGAAGGTACACATTTGCATGTGTTGTTTCAAAGTAGTTATTATCATAAATAAGTAACGAATTTAACAGCAACCTTTGCAAATTATAAATCCTACAAACAGTTTAACTATATTATGCACAGTATAACTAAGAAAATAGCGTGATCCCTCCCTCTTAACCCAACAACAAAGCACCGAAAATATTCTTCATCAAATATAATTTTATTTTCCAAGAGTGCCAAGAATTGAGTTTTAAAATATTAAGTTTAGAATATACTTTCATTATGCCATATCTGATCGATGTTCAAAACACCATTCTAACCCTTCTTTAACCAAAGGCCAGAGTGCAATGGATCTTAATGCTGTATCCTGTTTTTGCATCCTGCTTTCTTTATATTCCCTTTGTTAATGCATTACTGGATAAGGGCCTCTCTATGGTGTGCAGGTCATGGTGGTAAAATGACCACATGTCACATGAGTCACAGCAGGTTCGTGAAGGTCAAGGACATAAATATCGTACGAGGGATTTTGCTGCACAGCCATTTTGCTACTCAGCACGTAGCCCTACAGTTAATTAAACAAAAACTGTCTTGTGCAGTGATCACCCACCCAAGGACTATCAAGACTCAAACCTGTTTAGATTGAGATATTAATTATTTGGTGATTGATGAATGTGTTGAGTTTTTTTTTATATATGAGATCAGGTAACGGTTACTGGTGATGTAGTCAAATACACATTTACGTTCCCATTTTATACTGGAAACGATCAACCTTCAAAGAGAGATGATATATTTTACTTTCAAGCTTACCAGCTTTCTGTCCATTTTGGCTTTGATGTCTCTGGCCAGTGTGAAGAAAGCCTGCATTACAGACATTCAGAAGTAAACCATATTGAAAGAGCAGTCGTCACTTTTGTGCGCTAGATGATACAATTGCAAATAAAAATTACAGCACGCTTACCTCCTCCACATTAATGCTGGCCTTGGCACTGGTCTCCATGAACTTGATTCCATATTCAATTGCCAGCTGCATGAACAATATGAAAAAAATCGTTACCGTGAATGTGCAGATCCCATCAAAATACTCCTCTG